ATCTCCAGAGTAAATTGAGATAGATGCAATATAAAGTTTGTAGCTTGTTTTGAATTGTTCGTGTGCTTGATGGTGGGTGTTTGGAATTTAAAATGGGAATAGATTGTCCCCAAATAAAATGGGAATAGATTGTCCCCAAAGAAAATCATGATGAAAAATTAGCATCCATTTCCTAGAGTGAATTATGTGTTGGACGGTTGGACCACTTGACGCATGCTGCCATCTTCATGAAGCTCGATCCAAAATCAAGCTATCACATTCAAAAACAAATAATGATTAGTTAAGTGGATTATTCTATCATTTGCTATGTAATACAATGGTGACATTATAAATATAATAAATAGCATTTTGAGGCCATTCATGGAGGAGTTCATGATCGTCCAGACGTCCACATGATGGCATCCTAATCTACAACTAGCCAAAGAACATATCGAACATGTGCAAAAAGTGTTTATGCTCCTAAATGAAAAACACCACCTCCTCAACTTGGGAATGCAACTTTTGGAAGAAGACCGTAATCTACCTGGGCTATAAGTTAAATTGGGAAAAGCAATGTCTACCTGGGCTTACAGGAAACACAAATGAATTCAATACCTCCAAATTCAATCAGAGCTTCATCAAGCAAAACATATAAAAAGGATGGCATATTTGCAACAATTCAACTTACTCAACTCAAGAACGAAGTGTATAGCATACACTCTCACAATCTCTGGTGACTAACGAAGTGTATAGCATACACTCTCACAATCTCTGGTGACTCTGTCTACATTATTGCAGTTTCAATTAAGAGGAAAGAAATGTCATAGGACAATGACTTCTACAGGAAAGCAACATTGTGTTCCCAAATATGATGATCAGGTAAAGTAGAATAGATAAGCGCAAACTTCCAAGGTTGTTGAATACTTAAAGACGAAGATGCTTTAAAACCAATAGAGATATATTTATTGGTCAAGAATACATCTTGATGTGGACAAATTCTACAAGGGATGGATAATTTGTCACACCTTAAAACATTCCGATGATATAGATATACACGCCTCTACCTATGAGAGCAACTCCATGAACATCAACGAAGGATTTTCAATGATTTGTAGTGGTTATATTTATAGTAGTTGATGTGTTCATAGAGATCATAAAACTCATGTTGTGTAAGCAGATCATAATGGGAAAGAAGAAATACATCTCTTTTTCCATAATGTTTGAGTGAATTTTGATTTTATAGAGCTCAATCGACAAGGATAGAGATTTCCACCTCCTAGACTCGTTCAAAAAATCACTTATTTCGAGCAGCAACACATCCTTCCATTCACAAACTAACAACCAACTGAAGTGGTAAATAGAATTGTTATGCACCTACAAAGAGGATTTAACTCACAATATCCAAACACTTGAGATGAAAATATATTCTACATGCATAACATTCTAAAGAAGAGAAACACAATAACACGCCACGACAACCCTCCACAACACCGAGGTACTATATAGAATTGGCAAAAGGCAAGTGGTTTCCAAAGTGAAATATCATGCTCGACAAAGAGAAGGTGAGTTGTCCCTTGCTTGACTCACAGAAATGAATCACCTCCTAAAGAGGAGGTTTATGATCAGGAGATCATTGACTTGAAAGCTTATGGATGAAAGCTTATGGATAACAAGTTGAGAAGAACTAAAAAAATGAGAAAACCCCTAAAAGAATTATAAAGTTGTCGAGAGGAACTCGTGAAGATTGTTGTGCTATTGAGAAATATCTATCTAGGTCAAAAGGAACCTAGAAAAGGTCATGAAAAGGCACCCAAGAGCCAAGTGAATCGATGACTGAGAAAGTGTTGACGAGCAATTACAATGCCATCCTAAAATTAACATTTCAGAAGATCAACACCAAAATCCACACTGCCTCCCCATAATTTATAGTCAAGATTTCCGATAGTCATTCAAAAACGTAATCAAAGACATGCCTTACAATTAATTTGTTTCACACTTTCCAATTATAACCAAGATTCTTTGCGTATTAGGGGTGTAAGTGAGCCGAGCCGGCTCGTGGCTCGAACTCGACTCATTAACGAGCTCGCGAGCCGAGCTTATCGAGCTAAGCTCGAGCTCGAGCCTACAATCGAGCTCGTATGATAAACGAGCTCGAACTCGAGCTCAACCTGACTCGACTCGAAAGCTTATCAAGCTACTTCATATAATTATATATATTATATTTATAATATTATTTTTTTATATAATAATATGCATCAAATGCGTTGGTGCTTCTCAAATGAGCTCGATCTCGAGCTTGAGCTTTACAAACGAGCTCGAGCTTTCGAGTCGAGCTCGAGCTTGATATTTTCTAAACGAGTCAATCTCGAGCCCACTAATCGAGCTCGAGCTCGAGCTCATTAAGGATTAAACGAGCCAAGCTTGATAAGGCAAATACTCGACTCGACTCGACTCGTTTACACCCCTATGCGTATACAAAGAGATTTCGAATGAGGAATCATGATTAGCATAAATTAGCCTCTTTAGTGCAATCCTCTTGAGTTAGAATCTCAGAGAAATTATGCTTAGCCTCTTGAGAAAATAAATGTTGAGATTAAGAGAAGCTCTATAGAGTTAAAGAGCTAGAAAGAAAGAGGGGATTCAATAAAGTATTGGTTTTCTCCTTAAATTTAATCAAGTTCTCTTATTAATGAACTTATATGTTCTTTGTTCCAAGATTAATGGTTCAAATTAACAACCTCACTCTATTGAGATCTATTTGACATTTTGTTGGAGCTCTTTCTAATGTTTTGCAAATACCAATTAATAGGATAAATAGAAACAAAGGATAATTGTAGAAAGAAAACTTGCTTGGATTCCATACTTAAAAGAATAGAACTAAACTTACTAAAAGCTAGCATTTATAGGATAAAGATCCTATCATAAAAATAAATAAAACAAATAAGGATAATTTATAATTAACTTGATTATAGGCTAATTATCCTAAAATCAAGGCACCTAACAAAAAATAGGACAATCAAACCTTCTTATTACAATTTCCAAAAGGAAAAACACTCATTTAAAGCATGGACAATTATTATCATTCTTTACAAAGCACAATTTTCTTAGAAAATATAAGAAATGATCTTTCTTTATTAGATTTCAACGAGAATTTAACTTTTTAATAGGACACAATGGAGAAAAATGATTCATGTAGACGACCCCACGTAGTGAGATAAAGGCTTGATGTTGTTGTTGTTGTTGTTGTTGATGTTGTTTTCAAATAACCCACAAGAACTTTTATATAGCCAATTACATGTTTTAAAAAAATTCTTCCTACCAAAGTGCTTCAATAGAAAAGTTTAATCAATTATTTGGGTTTTATAATAGTAAATACAACACAAATATAACTTCATCAGTTTAAGTTACTAAATTAGTTATACTAATTATGCCTAGATTTCTAACTATGATAGTGTCATTGAAGATCATTTCACATGCACTTGCACTACTCTATGTATATTGAAGGCTATCAGATCTACTGCAAAACCGGGATCAACAAGGATATCGAGAGCAAAAGATACAATGGTAAAACAAACTAACAAAAAAGTACCCTTTACAATATTAAGCAAATCATCAACTTTTATGGAGTAAAGCACAAGCCTTTAAATTCCTAGACATGCTTGGTCCAGGGCTGTGAAGTAGGAATTACAAAATCATAGCTAGAAGAATATAAAACAGAGACATCTCACAACCTGCAAGTGATATGTTCTACATACACTACTAGGAACATAGAAAAGATTCAAGCAATAACAACTCATAAAATAGCTAAAACATAATAAAAGAAGCATCAAACATGTTTTACAACAATATCCCGTTAAGGCATGTTGATTCACATAGTGAAGTTTTTAGATCAACAATACCAACAAATATTTTGTTTGGATAAACATCACAAAGCATCAATCAAAATTATGATGCAAAGAATACAATTCTTCTTGGAGTATAAAACCCTCAACCTAGGAAGCACAAAACAAATAAATAGAAACACTATGGTATAAGAAAATCAATAAATTTGCAATTTGACTTGGACTATAATTTCAACATACCAAAAAAGTAAAACCAAGTCTCAATCGCTAAACCACCAAAGTGACTCGAGTTGATTAGAAAATATTAGGTAGGCTAGGAGTAGTCCCTTCAAAGATGAATAGGATTTTTGGAAACAATCCATTGGAGTGTAATATCTCCCAATTTATAGGACCAAACAAAATGGTTTGCACCCCTCAAATGCTCCATGAACAATATGAGATAAAACTATGAAAAGTTTACATAGAAACTCCTTGATTCAAACTTAATGAGTTAAATTATAGATAAAAAACTGATTTAAAAAAAAAAAATAAAACACAATCAGACTAATTACATCCAAATAACTTGTAAAAAACTCTTAATAGATGTACTACCATAATCTGTGGCAACAATATTAGCTCATGTTGTAGTGAGCTACATTTATTTTTGAAAATCAATGAAAGTCCCTAAAATCCGCATCATATTTTAATTAAATCTTCCTCCTTTCCATCACAAAGCCTTGCCAGCTAAGATTCTTTTGTAAGTTAATGTTCAAATATGTCTCATTCCTAGATTACAAAATTCTTGCTGACTAATATTCACTTATAAGTTATTTCAACTATTATATTATAAACTCAAACTCGTCTCCGTCAATATAGGATACTGACGTCTCCGTCAATATAGGATACTGACGCCGTCAATATAGGATACTGACGCTTGTCTAGGGCTCAATCTATTCTCGAACTTGTGAAAAATAGCTAACGCCAGCTAGCAAAAAAAAACTTGAGCTATGATGAAATCTTGGTTCAACCACATCAAACCAAGCTGGAGAATCATATAATTGGTAAACCATAGCATGTATAATTGGTAAACCATAGCATGTATAGACCCCTAAACTTGAGTCCTTGGATACTAAATCACCCAAAAAAAACATTGATTAAACCATTAACCAGAAACAATGAAAAAAAAGGAAAGACACTCACTATCCACTGATCCAAACCGAATACAGAATGTTTCATCCTTCAATTCTCCATCCGAAAAATCTGTGGCATGCCAAACGCAGGACTTATCATTTCCAGCATGCTCCTGCAACTTGATGGATGGAAGAACTAACAAGCAAAAACAAAGAAAACGACAAAGGAAAATAAGATCAATAAAACATTAGAGAATCCCAGTTAACGAATCAAACAATAAAAAATAACCCAAGAAGAAATCTACTTAAGTGGTTGGCGCAGATCTTCAGCGTCTTGACCTGCCGCATCACAAGCCGGACCTTGCCAGTTTCCTTGTGCTTGAGAATCTTCACGCTCCCCGTCCCCCTCTCCTTCCATTGATTCCCCTCCTTATCAAATCGGTACAGCTTCGCCTTCCTACAAGTACAGAAATATCGATTTAAAACAGAACGCAGGAAATCGAAAGAAGAGAGGGCGGAAGATCTAAATCTTACAAATCGAGTAGGACTTCCTCATCCTCCTCGCCAGTGGTTACCGCGACCTCCTCAAGCCGGACGATGGGAGCGATCTGAGCCCCGGTGTCCTCGTCCTCCCCAGCGGCTGTCTCACCGGCCTCCTCTTCCTCTCTGCGCTCGGGCTCGTTGCTCGCCATCTAGGTCGGAGGGATATGGAATTGGATTAAGGTTGGGCAAATATGCAGGAAGAGGAACATCTAGGGCTTTATATTTGTAAGGGCGGCGGGGATGTTGATGACTCCAAGGGCTTGCGCAGTGGGGCCGCCGAGCTGTTCCACGCGGAGGACAGCGTGGATATTACAGAAATTATTCCCGGAAATTAAATAGAATGCAGCAAACAGTAGTATCGAGCAGCAGTACTAAGCGATACCGAGTAATACCGAGTCACGATGTCAAGCTCATGAGTGATGTGGCACATTTTTGTTGGTCTCCGAACAATATTAGGCATCCGCACAGAATAATTAATTTGGACAATGAGAGATCTAAATCATTAAACGGTGTAAATTGATTTTTAATTTTTATAAAAATTCATACACATGATTATAATTATGTTTAAAATAGAATAATCATGAACAAATTAATTAACTAGTGTTTATACTTTAAAAAATAAAGGTGAAGCTTTAATAAAAGGCAAATTTTACATTTAAATGATAAATAAAAGATAGTTACTTTAATTCCTTAATAGCATATTTGCTAAACCGATTTCATTCCTATTTCTTATTCAATTTGGTAAAAGCTCAAACATGAATCAAATCATGTACAATCAATTTAGGGGCGGTTTAATTTGATGATTTTTAGATATAAAGTATTTTAAATGCATGTATTTTAAAAATAAACTATAATATTTGGTTGAAAGAAAAATAATTGAAATATTTGGAATTTACCATGTAATTCATTTTTAATGCTTTTGGAATTCAATCGATTATAAAATAATTTCAAATAGACTATAAGAGTGAAGCTTTCCTATCAGTATTGGTAGTCGTTTGCCCAGGCATCGGCCTCCACCCGCTATCGTTGCTACTGTTAGTCATTCGTCAGCTCCATTGGTCGACTATCATCAGCCACCAACTGTCTAACCAACTCTAAGGCTTTGTTTGGAACTACTTTCTTACTGCTTCTTAAAGCAACTTTTCAATATTAAAATTTTAATTTTTGAACTAGAATGTCACTTTAATTAGTAAGAAAGCCGTCCCAAACTAAGCATGAAATTTTCAAATATATTATTATTTTTTATTAATTGACTAAAATATCATATTATTGCCCTGATTGATTATCGAATAATTATAGTACTTTACTATATCATATAAGTTTATTGTTACACATATTTGCTTCTAAGAATAACATGGCTAACATGTTATTTTCTCATAATTATGTTTTTACATATAAGGCTGAATATTACAGTACTAAAGTCATTCCATTCATAAGCATATTATACACTAATGTTGAAGACTTTAAGTTAGAAATTGCAAGCACATATATTATTTTTTCTTATATGCCTTAAGTGTAGTAGTAGATTTGATCTAATATAATGGACTTACTACTCACTATATTGTATCTATAGATGCCTTAGTTTTAGGGAAGGATAAGGATTCAATCTTGTTGATTTTGGTTAGCTTGTACTATTGGATGATTATATATATGAGATTTTGTTTCTAGTCATGCTTTACTATATTTTATTTAGTGAATTGGTGTTCATCCAAGATTATTATTGATAATTCTTCAAGATGATAATAATGTAAATTTTTTAATACAATTTATGTTCCATATTTGCACAATATTGTACTATGTGATTTATTAGCGGCTCTAAGGATATATAAATAGCTATAAATTTCTTCCAAATACATCATAGAATGCTGAATGGATTTGTATATCAATTAATATAAATCTAATAAAGGTGTCAAATTTTGACCGGACCCAAACCCGAATAAATGGGTTTGAATTTTCGACCAGTTTATCAAATGAGTTGAGTTCAAGTTGTCCCATGAATTAGTTTTTTAACCCAAATATGTTAAAAACTGATCCGCTTAATATAATCTTTCTTTACTTTTCTTTTACATGTGAGTTTAATTTTAATATTTTTTTATCAAATATCATAAAATTTTAGTTAATAAGTTATGAAAAAAAAATCAAAATGGGTTAACGTGTCTAGTTCGAGTCATTTAGGTTGCTAATGAGTTGGGTTTGTGATCAGATTTGGACTGATTGGATTCGGGTTGAGTCAATTTCAAATTGGACAAGTCGGCCTACTTTGATACCCCTACTAATATTGATGGATGAATAGATCAAGGTTTACTCATATGTCGCACCCAACTTAGTATGATCTACTATAATGTCGATATGTCACAAAAAATTATCTTGATCAATCATAAAGCTCGATGCATATATGAATTGGAAACTTCAAAAATTAAATTTTGGATCATCGAAGTTCCAATTTCAACAAACTTATGGTCAAATTAAACTTCTCAATGAGACGAACCCAACGACATCAAAATTGACCCAATTCAAGCCAAAATGGGTCCAAATCAACAGGGCAAAAACATATTTGGAATGTTCAAATCATTCATTGAAAGACCAAATGATCTATAAATATGGCATGCTTACAGTCAAATTGAGCAGCTTGATGAGACGAATCCAATGAGCTCAAGATTGCTTAATTCTAACATCATTAAGATACTTAAATGCTTGACAAATGCTCTATGTCGAGGGAATCAGTATGGGTCATCTGATGGGACACTTCATATATATATATATAATTCATTGCCTAGCACCGCAACACTCACCAGATCAGTGCCAAAGAGCTATACTTCGGAATTTTCATATTTTTCAATCATATACTTGAATCAATACAACGTGGCATGCTACTCTCAAAACCAGCATGGGCAACCCGCTGACTACAATCCCTCTGACCTCTTTCACCTACCGACTATTATCCATTATCCCTCTGACCTCCGTCGTCCGCCAACTACGGTCCCTTCGAGCTTTGTCGTCCACTGACTACAATCCCCCCGATCACTGTCATTTGCCTACTATGGTCCCTCCCACCTTCCTCGCCCTACTACGACACCTCAAACCTTCGTCTTCAGACTACGGTACCACCGATCAAACAAACATGTCAACATTCTTTTATCATTAGATTATTTAAACTCCCACTATGTAATATGCAATATATATGATGTATATATTCTACATTGAGCCAAAGCCTTCCCCCGAGGAAAGGCATCATTTGTAATCAGCTACAAATACTTGTAGGCCCTATGTTTTTTTTCCCCTTTTCATGGTTTTACACGTAAAATATTTGGTGTCCCTCATGCTCTTGCACTTTTTTCTCTTATATGTTTGTGTTGAATCTTCATACAATACTATTATGATATTCTATATATCTCTCTATTGCCGCGAATGTTCCAAGATGAAACAAATATAAATGACGCTAAAATTAGGTCATTAAAAAATGTATATGATTTTTTTTCTCTCTCCGAGTTGGGAAATAAGATTCAACATTTTTTTTTTTGGTAATGAAATTTCTATATGTAATGGAAATTTTTCCCCCAAATTTGAGTTTTAACTTTAGTTATCTAATTTGAATAATATGTCACATATTTCTATTCAAAATTAATCATGGATGTTTATGAAGTATAGGGAAAAGTGATGGATACTTCGACAGAAAAACCTGGTGTGTCCACCATAGGAGGAGTCATAGGTTGATGATCATGATTAGGAGTCTTTATTTATAGTCTATTTTATAAATTTTACTTATTAAATTATTTTATTTTATGAGTCTTTTTCAGTTTACCCATATGTTGAGTTATATGAGTGTTGTAGTCCAAGAGTCATTTTAGTCATTTGAGTCCTTCGTGTTTTGAGGCATATATATTGAGGCATTGTCAATTGTAGTAAGATGATAATTATTTATGAATTAGACTTTAATTTTCCTAAATTGTGTTTGAGTCTTCTTGAGTGAAGAGAAGTCCCTAGATGTAGGGCAATGCAACACCCAACAACTGGCGTCGTGGCAAGGTTCTTGGCTCTATCTTCTCTCCATCCATACCTCATATTCCTCCATACAGTCAAACCACCCAACCCTCTTCTAAACAATAAGTCGAAACCCTGCTATTCTCCTATAGCAGGATTCCTGCAACCCCATACAGCCGAACCACCCAAACCTCATCCAAACAATTAGCTAAACCTTTGCTATCCTCCTATAGCCAAATTCCTACAGCCCCATACAACCGAACCACCTCCTCTCCCTTCCATTCCCACTCACCCACAAGCCCACCCCTCCTCTCCTTCATTTTCTAGCCAACCCCCACTCCATTGTCTCTTGGTATTCCCTCCACCTTTTGCTCTTCCTCACCAGCTTCCCAAAGGCTAAGCCTCTTCCTATTCCCCCCCCCCCTAATTAACTCAACTTTATTTACTACATTTTCTAATTCCCCATTAATCATCATGGTTGATGCCCTTTCCTATTCCCCTTATTAAATACAAGTGGATGCTGTCTTTTCCACTTCCCCATTAATTTCTACATTAATTGCTACTCTTTTCCTTCCCAATAATTCCCAATAGCTGCTGCCTCTTCCCTTCTCCATTAATTCTCAAAAGGATGCTACCCCCTCCCCCCCAACAAAAAAAAAAATTCTATTACCTGATGCCCTCTCCTCTTTTCTCATTAATGTCTTATAGCTGCTACCCCCGCTTCCCTCCCCAATAATTCTCTAGTGCTACCGCCCCTTCCCCCCATCCCCTTCCTTTTATTTAGTTGACAACCCCTCTCCCAAACCAACACCTCCTCTTCACTTTCAACAGGCCAAGCACGAACTTCCTTCCACTTCGATATCAACAACTCCATCAAAGAATACATGGGTCGGATTAGCTTCTCTCTTGTAACCGCCATTGACCTTCGAAGACCTCCTATCCAGTGGCAACTCACCACCAACCCAGCCACTATTCCTTTTTCGAGTAACTTTGCATTGTTCAAAATCTTAAACATTTACTTTTTCTTAATGACATTGTCAATATTGTATCAATCTCTCTTTCACCGAAATTATTCGAAGAGTGTAAGTGAGGGAGCATCACTGTGAATGTTCTAATTCGTAATTGTAGGATTTGTGTGACTTGCGGATAAGTACCTATAGTCTTAATTATTATTTATTGTTTTCCGCCAATACTTGTGATTGTTTACTATTACTTTATCAACAATTGAAAAGCCGCTTAAATCAGCCATTGATCACCATGGTATTTAATTGCTAAGCTTGTCAATTCTTTATTATTCATAAGCAATTCCCAAGTCTAACATATGTTTCACATCAAAAAAATCTATCACTTACCTGCAGCTCTTCTTGATTTATAATATCGATACCCCAACAGTGTAACAAGAATGTGCCTTCATTGATGCAGCCCAATATTATGATAACTTAGAAAATCACTAAAAAAACAGTGTCTTTATGAATTGAACTCTTGTCAAAAGCACACAGAAGATCGTAGTTTATAATTATCCTCTTCATAAGAAGATCGTAGTTTATTTAGCTTGTACTAAGTATTTTAGCTTACTAATATTGAATGAAAGAGATTACTGAAATCTGAAGATCAATGCATATGTAAAACAGCCATATTGTTTATTAAATATCGCAATGAGTTATTTCCCCTAACAATGCTCCTTCACTGTTTTCTTTTTATGACTTGTGACAGCAGCTAATGGAAGCCCGCTGTGCCAGTGCTAGGGGCCTTCTTGCTGGTATGGAATTCTCAAATTTTTTTTTTTATTGATCTTTGTCATGAACCTAATGGTAGCTAAGAATGATTGGATTGAAAAAAACTGAGCCAAGGAATATTGGGGACAATTCACTTCATTGTAACAGTTTGGTTCTAGGAGAAATTATTCTGTGCGGAGACGGATACATAATATCATCCGGAGACCAATCAGAATGCGCCACGTCAGTGGTACCGAGCCACGGTACAGAGCACAAGAGTGACGTGGCTTATTCTGATTGTTCTCCGGAAGGCGTTCGGCATCCGCACAAAATAATTAATCTGGTTCTAGACCATCGAGTCCTTCTACGGTGAACTCCTGCCATTACTTCCACAAGCTTGACGTCTACATCGAACTTCAACACGACTTCCTTGTCTTTAGATTCATCCGACGCATTTTATAATGAACTCTAATTGCAATTTTCTTTCCATCATTGGATTTGTGAAAGTCTTTAACAATGAACTCGAGTCACCGGACATGATGATGCCTTCTACAATAATGACTTTCCAACAATCTCCCTCTAACCTTTTCGGGCGAGCTCCTATGTCAACTTCCGTATCTTCACCAACCGTCTCAAGCTCAAGCTTAAGAATATATAAGCGAGCAGAGCACGAGCTCGAATTTGAGCCTGCCATTAAACAGAAAGTTCGAGCTTGAGTTATACTAATGAGATCGAGTCAACTCGATTGTACCACTACTCTCTATAATTTTAATTTTCTAATCCACAATAATATTATTTTATTTAAAATAAAATGTATATTTTGATGTCGACTAAAGTAATTCATAAATAAAAGTTAAATTTTAGATGTTAGAATTGTTGAATGATTTGTACATAAAACCCCTAAATAAATTCTTCTAGATAACCACTACACGAGAAGGTGGAGCACTCTGGAAAGATCAGCAATGGCGTCTTCTACTGTCCAGCTATCTGGACTTCAGTCATTCTATCTCCGCTGCCACTCATCTTCCCACCCTCAACTTAAAACCCTAGCTCTCCCTCTTGCTTCCTCCCCTGCTTATTGCCCTGAAGTCTCATCCCTGCGCTCCGTACTCCGAAGGAGTCGACGCCGCCGGCACGTCTTCGTCCGATACAGTGTTTCCGGCAAATTTTTCGTAAACTCCACGATAAAAAAACTCTCTGAGACTAATCTCGTTCCCATCCCTTCGGGTTCCGAAGGAATCGAAGGGCTGTTCCCCGCTGGCGCTGGTGTCTACGGAGTTTATGACAAGAATGGGGATCTTCAATTTATTGGGATTTCCCGCAACGTCGTCGCTAGTATTACCGCACACAGCAAGACGGTTCCGGTTCTATGCAGCTCAGTGAAGGTGATATTTTATATCCATTGAAGCTGTTCTTCCTTTCTTCTTACGGGCAGCTTGGTTGCAAGATTTTGCCAGGATTTAGGGTAGATATTGACAAACTGTTTTTTGAGCCACATAACTCCTACTACCTTCGTTAATCCTATTTAGATTTAGAAAATTTTCTAAATTCTAATTGAATTATATACTACTTGTAGCCAAATAGCCCCTTAAGTGGTCTCATGGTCGGTTCTGTAGAATTTTTGAAGATAAGAAGATTAGGATGTATACTCATATAAGCAATTGGATAGCCTGGTCTGATTCATACGTAAACAACTCTCATGAGGGATGAGTATATCACTGAAATGTCGAGATGGAAGGTGCTATGACAATTAAACCAGTCTAATTCCTCCTGTTGGAGTCTTGTTTGGCAAATTCAGCAATAGACCTAACACAGAATCACGATAAAAAACTCACAGCAAAATTGTTGACTAAGATTTTGATTATTAGTTTACTTCCATAATGATTGATTGTTGATGAGACAGTGCATTGAGTTTCTGAATAACAAGAGCGAGATGATTGTATCAATTGGTTGTAGGTTTGATGACCAATAGACCTAGTGAGATAATATTGGCTTGTTGAGTTTATTCTCCATTGAAGACTATTTGTGTTAACCTCAAAACTTAAGGGTACATAACTAACATAAGCATATTTGATCTTGAAAGTTCATCAGGACATTTTCATTCTTTATTTTGGTACTGGTAGAAAGAAAGAAAGTAAGGAGAAAGCAATTTTTAATTTCTTATGTAGGCTATGCTTGCTGTCTATGGGCTGCTTTCCTTTGAAAAGGCTGGCATTCATCTAATATGCTCAAAATGATGAGAAGATGACTGAAGGTATTGATATGTTACTAGACAAATGATTCTTGCCTCCAGAGCATTTGTTAAATTGTTGAGGCATTCATTCATTTAGGATCTTGATTGTTTCTACAAGGTGGGTTCTAAAGAGTAGTTGGATTTAGTGGATACTTTTTTTATGCCTTTTTCTTTTTCCGGTTCGTTGGATCTAAAGTGTGTGGTCTGCCATTAAATCCTTGTTTATTCACTATTATTATCGTTCATGTTCTTATTCTTTTGATGTGTTGGAATTGAATACTATATCATGCTTCAAGTCCTTAATTGTCGTTATAATTGAAAGAAAAAAAGAAAAAAAAAACTTATGTGGAGGATTGAGAATAGTTCTATGGCCGTTTGTTTGGAAAATGGTGGCAACTTGTTTTGCACAGAAACCTTTCTGTGAGATGATAATGCTATAATTTTTCATGCATGAATTATTTCTTTTCTGAAAAGAAGACTATTGGAATTTTCTGCATTATCTTAAGAGGTTTGTATGTTATAGGAAATACTTGAATATTGAATATTTCAAGTAAACCCTAACAAAGATGGAGGAAAACAGCAAACGATTCGCACAAAATCTGCAGCTGAATTAAATAAATAAATAAATAACGATTCACACAAAATTTGGTGGAAAACTCTCCAAACATTAATTTGATTGCAAAAGAGAGAACTAACAGAAACAATGAAAGTGAAGAAACAATTGATCCTCAATTTGAGAGGAGGATCGTTCTCTCCCAATCTCTAGATGAATCTAGAGCCCAAGACACCAAGAAAAACTCGCACAAGAACACAATAATCAAAACATAACCCTAACCCTCATCTCCCCCGCATACTTATGTCATACAATTACAACAATAAGCAAAAATGACCTAATAGCCCTTGCCGCCCCCTTCTTTGAGTCCTAAATTTGAATTTGAACTCTAGTGGACCCCACCCAAACCCTCTCTCTCCTTATTGTCGTCTCCCCTTCTCTAATACACGCGAACCGACCCCTTAAAAGGGGCCGGCTGGACCAATCCACTAAGGATCGGTCTAACAATACTGCCCTCCCAAAGAATCACCTTGTCTCTAACAGTATGCTATTTCACAATTGTATTGAAAATTAGGGTTATTTGATGGCTTAATTACATATACAATCTGATATACATGCATATTACCTATGTAACTGTACTAGAGATCTGATCCTTGTTGCAATCTCACTGTATCCATGGCTTCCAATAAATTTAGAATAAGATTTACAAATTGAAAAAAATGCATAGAATTAACACCAATAACATGCCCAGTTACATCCTCTATTGATTTTTTCTCTATCAAATTGCATATTCCTTGCAGGTAGGACTAATAGATGGCGATAATCCTGATAAGACAGTTCTAACCGACGCCTGGAAATCATGGCTCGAAGAGCACTTAGCTATCACAGGCAAAATACCACCTGGGAATCAAAGCGGGAATAATACCTGGGTTCGAAAACCTCAAACAAAGCCCGATCTGCGATTGACCCGCGGCCGTCACGTTCAGCTCTCAGTTTCGCTCGAGGAGCTCATCGATCGACTGGTTAAGGAGAATGAAGTAGTGGCATTCATCAAGGGATCAAGAAGCGCCCCCCAATGTGGGTTTTCACAGAGAGTTATCGGCATTCTGGAGTCTCATGGCGTGAATTTTGAATCTGTGGACGTGCTTGATGAAGAACACAATTATGGATTGAGGGAGACGTTGAAGAAGTACAGTAATTGGCCGACGTTCCCACAGGTCTTTGTTCGTGGTGAACTTGTTGGTGGATGCGATATTATTTCGTCGATGGCTGAGAAGGGAGAGCTTGCTGCGTTGTTTAACAAGTAGGTTTCTTTTTAGAAGTTTCAGAGCCCTTTAGTTTAAAAACAAGTTACATCAATTCTCATGAGTGATGAGTATATCACTGAAATGTCGAGATGGAAGGTGCTATGACAATTAAACCAGTCTAATTCCTCCTGATGGAGTCTTGTTTGGCAAATTCAGCAATAGACCTAACACAGAATCATGATAAAAAGATCACAGCAAAATTGTTTACTAAGATTTTGAATATTAGTTTACTTCCATAATGATTGATTGTTGATGAAACAGTGCATTGAGTTTCTGAATAACAAGAGTGAGATGATTGTATTAATTGGTTGTAGGTTTGATGACCAATAGACCTAGTGAGAGAATATTGGTTTGTTGAGTTTATTCTCCATTGAAGACTCTATTTTTGTTAACCTCAAAACTTAAGGGTACATAACTAACATATATTTGGCCTTGAAAGTTCATCAGGACATTTTCATTCTTTATTTTGATAAGGAGAAAGAAAATTGTTGAGGCATTCATTCATTTAGGATCTTGATTGCTTCTACAATGTGGGTTCTAAAGAGTAGTTGGATTTACTGGATACTTTGTTTATGCCTTTTTCTTTTTCCAGCTCGTAGGATCTAAAGCGCTTGGTCTACCATTAAATCCTTGTTTATTTACTATTATTATTGTTCATGTTCTTATTCTTTTGATGTGTTGGAATTGAATACTATATCATGCTTGAAGTCCTTAATTGTCGTTATAATTGAAAGAAAAAAAAACTTATGTGGAGGATTGAGAATGATTCTATGGCCGTTTGTTTGAAAAATTGTGGCAACTTGTTTTGCACAGAAACATTTCTGTGAGATGATCATGTTATAATTTTGAATGCATGAATAACTTCTTTTCTGCTCTGAAAAGAAGACTCTATTGGAATTTTCTGCATTATCTTAAGAGATTTGTATGTGATAGGAAATACTTGAATATTTCAAGTAAATCCTAACAAAGATGGATAAAAATAGCAAACGATTTGCACAAAATCCGCAACTGAATTAAAATAAATAAATAAAAAATGATTCGCACAAAATCTGGTGTAAAACTCTCCAAACAATAATTTGATTGCAAAAGAGAGAACTAACGGAAACAGCAAAAGTAAAGAAACAATTGATCCTCAATTCGAGAGGAGGATCGTTCTCTCTCAATCTCTAGATGAATCTAGAGCCCAAGACACCAACAAGAACTCTCACAAGAACACAATAATCAAAACATAACCCTAACCCTCATCTCCCCCTCATACTTATGTCATACAATTACAACAAGAAGCAAAATGACCTAATAGCCCTTGCTACCCCCAAACCCTCTCTCTCCTTCTTGCCGCCGCCCCTTCTCTTGTACACATGAATCGGCCCCTTGTAAGGGGCTGGCTGGATCAGTCTAACAATATGCTATTTCACAATTGTGTTGAAAATTAGGGTTATTTGATGGCTTAATTACATATACAATCTGATATACAAGCATATTACCTATGTAACTGTACTAGAGATTTGATCCTTGTTGCAACCTCATTGTATCCATGGCTTCCAGGAAATTTAGAATAAGATTTACAAATTGATAAAATGCATTGAATTAACACCAATAACATGCCCAGTTACATCCTCTATTGATTTTTTCTCTATCAAATTGCATATTCCTTGCAGGTAGGATTAATAGATGGGGATAATCCTGATAAGACAGTGTTAACCGACGCCTGGAAATCATGGCTCGAAGAGCACTTGGCTATCACAGGCAAAATACCACCTGGGAATCAAAGCGGGAATAATACCTGGGTTCGAAAACCTCAAACAAAGCCCGATCTGCGATTGACCCGCGGCCGTCACGTTCAGCTCTCAGTTTCGCTCGAGGAGCTCATCGATCGGCTGGTTAAGGAGAATGAAGTAGTGGCATTCATCAAGGGATCAAGAAGCGCCCCCCAATGTGGGTTTTCACAGAGAGTTATCGGCATTCTGGAGTCTCATGGCGTGAATTTTGAATCTGTGGACGTGCTTGACGAAGAACACAATTATGGATTGAGGGAGACGTTGAAGAAGTACAGTAATTGGCCGACGTTCCCACAGGTCTTTGTTCGTGGTGAACTTGTTGGTGGATGCGATATTATTTCGTCGATGGCTGAGAAGGGAGAGCTTGCTGCGTTGTTTAACAAGTAGGTTTCTTTTTAGAAGTTTCAGAGCCCTTTAGTTTAAAAACAAGTTACATATGTTTTCATATGATTAATTTATTTTGATTGTGCTTAAGTTATCAAACTGTTTGTATATGTTATTTTATCAGATCAAGGGTTAAAAAAAATGATGTTTTGCTTGGTTTGAAGGCTTTTTTCTGTGTTTAGTCTTATCCACTTTACTAATGTTGTTACCTTTGTAGTTGCGTGTAGGGGTGTAAACGAGTTGGGTCAAGTTGAATATGTCTAATCGAGCAAAATTTGTTTAACTCTTGTTGAGCTCAACTCTGACTCGAGCTCCTTAAGAAATTACGAGCTTTTAGCATTTAACTCATGAAATAATTAAAAATATTGAGTATATATTTTAATATATTATTCAAAATTAGATTTTAAATATTTTTTAATTCAAACGAGCAACTCGATAATCTTATGAGACAACCTAGCTAAGCTCTATCCAGAGCTTGTATAATATGCGAACTAGACTATAGGCTCCAGCTCTAACTCTTCGCTCAATAAACTCGACTCGTAGACTAGTTAAAGAGTCAAGTTCGAGCTGGCTCAGGAGTCGGCTCGATTCAATTACACCTCTAGTTGTGTTAGATTCAGAAATGTTACATCTAATATTTATTTTTTGAGAAATATGCTAAAACTAACCTTATTTGTACAAAAACTTGAAAACTATTGAAACTATGGCATTAAATTGTAGGCATTCCAATTGTACAAATGAAATTCACAGATTTAGTAATACTTTCACATCAAATGTTGATCATATTATGACCTGTAAACATAATTCTTTCTTGAATAATACTCAGATTTTCATATTTTATCATATCAATAACCTTAGATAAATTATGTATTGTCTTATAATTAATTGTTCACTAGAAGCTCCTCCATTCTTAACTCTAGCTAGATCATACTCATCCTTTCAATAAACAAAGAATCGATCACTTTTCTTCGTTGTTTCCTCCACTCCCTCATATCACTTTTCTTCGTTGTTTCCTCCACTCCCTCATAGAGACCGCATTTTGTTCCACAAGCTCTACTCATTCTGGTTTTGCTGAGAAAATTTGAAGCCAACATCCATATCTTTATAGTAGAACTTGAGTAAAGTTTTCTTTATTTGTGGGAATCACATAATCTGTATGGTAAAACACTAATACTTTTCTCTTTTTTGCAGTGCTCTTAACCCGTATTTAGCAAGAAAATATGTTGCGTGGACTATTTCATATCGAATGGATTTGGATCCTCTCTGGGTTTTTTTTTGTTAGAAAACACTTAGAAGATAAAAGCTAATGATCTTAACAAAAACAGTCGGAAATCTCTGCAAATCGAACGGAGAATCAGATAAAAATAAAAATTTTATTGCAAGAACATAAACTAATGGGAGAAAACAGCAAAACGTAATTGATCCTCTATTTGAGAGGAAGATTGTTAGAACTGGACCGGTCCAGCCGGTCAGGCGGGACCGGTTCACGGGCCAAAATCGCAAAATTAGGCGGAGATCTCCGCCTCCTGCGGAGATCGAGCGGCCCGACCAGCCCTTTAGAACATTTTAGGAAGCGTTTCCTTTAACTCATGAAATAATTAAAAATATTGATTATATATTTTATTATATTATTCAAAATTAGATTTTAAATATTTTTTTAATTCAAACGAGCAGCTCGATAATCTTATGAGACAACCTAGCTAAGCTCTATCCAGAGCTTGTATAATATGCGAACTAGACTATAGGCTCCAGCTCTAACTCTTCGCTCAATAAACTCGACTCGTAGACTGGTTAAAGAGTCAAGTTCGAGCTGGCTCAGGAGTCGGCTTGATTCAATTACACCTCTAGTTGTGTTAGATTCAGAAATGTTACGTCTAATATTTATTTTTTGAGAAATATGCTAAAACTAATCTTATTTGTACAAAAACTTGAAAACTATTGAAACTATGGCATTAAATTGTAGGCATTCCAATTGTACAAGTGAAATTCACAGATTTAGTAATACTTTCACATCAAATATTGACCATATTATGACCTGTAAACATAATTCTTTCTTGAATAATACTCAGATTTTCATATTTTATCATATCAATAACCTTAGATAAATTATGTATTGCCTAATAATTAATTGTTCACTAGAAGCTCCTCCATTCTTAACTCTAGCCAGATCATCCTCATCCTTTCAATAAACAAAGAATCGATCACGTTTCTTCGTTGTTTCCTCCGCTCCGTCATTGGAGAGATTATTAGGTGTGGAGTGCGGACGGGAATAACCGTCCGCACAAGCTTTATTCTGCGCTAGATACCAGCACTCGGTACCGTTGGGTACCTCTGGGTATCGCTAGGTACCCATATTTGTGCGGACGGTGCACACTCCGCACCTAATAATTTTTCCCGTCATAGCCACCGCATTTTGTTCCACAAGTTCTACTCATTCTGGTTTTGCTGAGAAAATTTGAAGCCAATATCCATATCTTTATAGTAGAACTTGAGTAAAGTTTTCTTTATTTGTAGGAATCACATAATCTGTATTATAAAACACTAATACTTTTCTCTTTTTTTCAGTGCTCGTAACCCGTATTTAGCAAGAAAATATGTTGCGCGGAATATTTCATATCGGATGGATTTGAATCCTCTCTGGTTTTCTGTTAGGAAACCCTTAAAAGATCTGAAGTAAAATTTAATGATCTTGACAAAAACAATCAGAAATCTCACAAATTTAATGGAAAATCAGATAAAAACAAGAATTTCATTATAAGAACACAATCTAACGGAAGAAAATAACAAGATACAATTGACCCTCTATTCGAGAGGCGGATTTATCTCTCCCAAATCTCTAGACGTCGCTAGAGCCCAAAAACTTAAAATCTCAAATTTCAGCCAAATTCAAGATGACTTAACCCTATAAAAACAAATTATTTAATGCAAACAATTCAAAAAGAAATCTCTATACAACCCCTATGATATTTTCCTGCCAACTCCAAAAAAAATTCTTCCTAAATAGCTTCCTTAGACCCGACAGCTTGAGCAACTTATTGGAGAGGCAAAACTTCCGCATCCATTCTGCCTGGCCGCATGAGCCGGTCCATAAGAGACCGGCTGAACCGGTCTAACATTTTCATATTAACTGTATGGTCTGCAGGCAGTAATTCTAGCCATTCAGTATGATCAATATTGGTCATAGTAATTTTGAGAAAGTTTAGTATAATCAATGTAATTGTATTATATGAATTTAATTTTTCAAATCAAAATAAAAGTTATTAATTATTTTATAAGAATTAAAACATGACAATTATTTTAATAAAAATTAATTCTTAACATATTATAAATAAATAAATAAAACAGTAGTTCTCATAACTTCATGCATATAACATAAAAATGTATAAAACATCAAAATGTTACCGTTTGAAAAGACAAAAAAACACGAGTATTACATTTCATTAATGACTTTGCTAATTAATACTAATAGATCACATGATATTATTGCATTTATTGCTTTTAACAGCTAATATGATAGAAAGTGGTAAAAGACTATTCATGGTGCAGTACATATTTGTGCATACAATATGGTAGAGGAAGCACTGTTCTTAGGCTAGTGAAAATCCCGATCAAACTAGCCTGCACCCCACGCCAATTTACACGGGCAATAGGCTCAACTTTAGGCTTCGTTTGAGACAGTTTTTTTTCTGCTTCTTAAAGCAGCTTTACTCAGAAGCTACTTTAAGAAGCAATAAAAAAATTATACCAAACAAAGTCTTAACCGAACAAAATGCAAGTACTTTCAAGCAGGAGAATTGGCAACTCAATTTCGGCAGATTGAGCTTTGTTTTGAATTGCTTTTGATCATTATTTTTTTTAATTATTTTTAAGAAATTTTATACTAAAAAATAAACCCTAAACCAAACATAAATCAACTTTATCTAATCATTTGGGTTTATTTAAATGTTAGGCTTGTTTAAAACAAAAAAAAAAAAAACGAATGCAATTCTCAACTTCAACAGGCCACAAACTGCCTGAAATTTTAAATGATTTGCTCAACTTCAGTTCAAATCCGACTTTAAATTCCTTGGTTTGAACTAACATTCAAAACTTGCTAATCATGGTTATTGCAAAATGAAATGCAGCTGATAGAGTAATAATAATAATAAATCCAGTCATAGCAGCAGGTAAATTTTCCAAGTCTTAGATCTTAAATATAAATGCAGATTTACAGAGACGATCTTATTCAACTATACTAAGCATACCCGGCTAGTAAATTCTAAATTAGAACATTTCAAAAAAGATTACTTGTTTGTAGAGCAGTAATGACATGGCGCTTAGTGTTAGAAAAGGCATTAACTTGCATTCACTTGATCATTCAGGACCAAACTACGTCAAGGTTCTTCCCAAATGCTGGGGCTGGCAATTTGTTAGCGATCAGTTGTCTCAGTTCAATCTCACCAGGAAATCTTTGCTCCGTCAATTTTGAGAAAACCTGCAAGATTAAGATGCACTTCATTAAGCACCAAAACCGTAAGTTTATTTGTTAAAAGATTAGTCTGGACTAAAGGGCAGCAATACTGATCACTGATAGGAAATACTTGAATATTTCGAGTAAACCCTAACAAGAATAGGAAAAAATAGCAATAGAATTACACAATCTAGTGGAAAACTATCCAAATTATAATTGGATTGCAAAAGAGAGAACTAAAGGAAACAACGAAAACAAAGATACAATTGATCCTCAATTCGAGAGGAAGATCATCTCTCCCAATCTCGAGATGAGTCTAGAGCCCAAGACACCAAGAAGATCCCTCATAAGAACCAATAATCAAAACATCACCCCAACTCTAATCTCTCCCCCATACTTTAGGTATACAATTAAAACAATAAGACAAAAAGATCTAAAGGCCCTTGTTGCCTCCTCCTTTAGCTCCAAATTTGAATTTGAAATCAAGTGGACCCCACCCCATCTCTCTCTCCCCCCCTCTTGCTGCCCCTCTTGCCGCCGCCCCTCCTGTTGTAGACGTGAACAGGCCCCATAGAAGGGGCTGACTGGACCAGTCCATTAGGGGTCGGGACTAACAATCACATACGAAATAGTAATGTATTGTTAATCAACTAAAATATAATTAATTCAAAGAAAAAATTAGTCCATCGAATTGATTTCTTGTTGAAAGAAGAAAAAAACATCTTGAAATAGAAAATTCACCTGAATTCGATATATGAAACGCTGAAACTGCAAGTGGCTATTTTGAGAAAAGGAAAGAAAAAAATACAACATAATTCCAATATTCAAGACCACCAATCTTCTACATCAAAATATGAACTCCAAAATTTGCTGAAATTCTGGCTCCTAACAAAGTTTAATTATTCTTACCGGCAAATATAAAAAATAATCGCTCAGAATCCTCTATTCATTTTTATTAGGTGCAGTATCAGGTTTTAAGCTATTTCATACCATCTTTTGCATAATTTCCACTCAAGTTATATTTTCGTCTACCATTTTCATGCCTAATTCTTATACATTAATTTTATTTACCCATCATATTAATTAGAGGCTTAGAGCACCTTCCAAGTTCCAACCTCCCCTATGGATGCTCAAACCACCTAAAAATTTTTCACTACATCTAAAATATGCTATTCCCACCATCACTTAGACTTCATTTGGGACGGCTTTCTTACTGCTTCTTAAAGAGGCTTTTAGTTCAAAAATTAAAATTTTGATATTAAACAGCTGCTTTAAGAAGCAGTAAGAAAGCCGCCCCAAACAAAGTCTTAGTCTATAATCTTTACTCACTCTATCATTTCTGATTTGACCATATCTGAACATTTTAAATTCTAGTAAACTCAACTAATTATGAAATATTTCGTTCTCACAGAACAAACGGACTCATAAAACATACCTGATATAGTTGTACTTCAATAAAATTTTCTCTTATCTCCACGATAGTTTTAAAAGCTATGATGCAGTATTTGCCTTAACGAGAAAAAAAAATGATGAATTATTAAGATGAGTGTTGTTCAATAATTTTCAAATATAGAACATGTCGGATGAAATCATTACACATTTTCAGATACACAATGCTTGCAAAAAGATAACAAGATCATAACACATACCAATTCACCATTGCAGTAAACCTCAAAAGCGCCAGAACTTTGTAGAGAAGATTGAAGGAAATTGCCAAGAAGCCAAGTGGAAGCAAGTGCTCCAAATTTATTGGCACGAAGAGAGTAGTACCATGGAGGAGGTACCATTCCCAATCTAGGAAAAATATGCTCTCCAGCCACAATAATTGTGATCAATCCAACTTGGGCAACAGGAACTGCCTTGCTTGCTATGCGTTTCGGAAAAGCAGGAGGGTAGTTTGATAGGATAATCTCAATTCCAGGAAAGGAAGCTTCAAGCATATTCTTTATGTTTACTGCAGTTCCCCTACCAAGAAAACATATACCACGTTGCATAACCACTCATTCAAATGAAAATCAACAGTTTTGAAGACAAAATAAAATAAAATATGAGCTCTGACGTAAATCTACCGAAATACTTTTCTTCTGAGGCAAAGAAGATGTAAATTAACTTGTTGTTATCTGTTCCTGAAATTTCTCTAAGAAATAAACATGCATAAACTTGTATATTTGATAAACCTCATAACAAAAGAATTTCGGTAAAAACAAATCGGTAGGATAGAGTACTTCTCTCTAATTCAAATTCTTATTGTCAGGCCTAAATTTCAATAAAAAAACCAAGATGAACTGAATGATAATAAAAAAAAAGTACTTTAGTGATTGAAAATTAATGATAAATTTGTAACTATCAATGTGGACAATGCAATACAGGATATGCATCAAGAATATTTTGGATTACAGTAGCCTTTCTAGATTATTCTGGTATTTTATCTTAATTTTACTCTATGTTAATTTAGGATTATCTTTTCTTTTAAATTATCTGATATAATTTCTAGGATTTTAAATAATTTGGATTTATCATGTAAACCAATTACTCTATAGAGTATCATATTCCCCATGCACTGCACACGGGAAAGATGAAGTGAAGATTAACAATCAAAAGCAAATAACTTAAAAAAATAGCAGAAGCATCTCGTCACTAGTCATTGGTTAGTTCTGGTCTTATATGATCATCATCATAGCACAAACTTCATTAATTAAGGCAATCAAAAACATATCCAATTCCCGATTGAGGTCGTCCTATAGCTTGCAATGAACCTCATCTAGATTGAGATTTCTTCTAGAATATACCGTCTGCTTCTAGAATTCGAGAATGTGGTCCTACATTAACTGCTCGAATTCTTCATTTAATCTTTGCCATTGAATCCACCTCTCACACTTGTGACTGATGGTAAAAACTTCTTCTAGGTGATGATGCTTGCTTCCACATTCCACCATACATGAGTGTGGTCATGCAGCTTCAAACTCATGAATGCTATTTTATGGGGATGATTAGACCTACTGAATGAAAATTAGATCGCAAGATTCTCGAACAAACCAAAAAGCTTCTTGACATGATCGTCCCATCAGAGGTAGGCAACTTGAGTGTAGTGTCAACCTTGAATATTAGTCAAGTCTCATACAAAAAACTTAGGCTTCGTTTGGGTCAGCTTTTTTAATGCTTTCTAAAACAGCTTTTTAGTTAAAAATTTTCTTGAATTTAAAAATTGTGCACTAAAAAGTTGCTTTAGAAAGCAATGAAAAAACCGTCCCAAACAAAGCCTTAGTCAAGCGAACTCTTAGCCCTAATCATCTGGATTGAAGGTGAGTATTATGGTTTATCGCATGGGTAAGTACAATACCACATACAGTTAATCACAGTTCTATGTTATTGAAAGGCGACGGACTATCAAAACATCCCTACCAAAGCCTCCAATCCACTTTCAAGCTCAGCAGTGATTGTTGCTATTAATATTCAGTTTTGATTGGAGTTTGGATCGGCCTCTTGGCTTTTGTTTAGGTTTTGTTCAATTCCGGTGCAAGGATTGATTATTGTCTTCATCATTTTCTCCCGTAAGCATAACCTGTGGACTCTTATACCAAAAAGATTATCAAAAACCTAAGAAATCAAGTAACCAAGGACTGGTTAAGTTATACAATTGTTCTGAACACGAGTGGTAAGAAATTGTGGATAAATCTGTATATGATTCTCTTTCTTCTACCCACCCTCAACCGTTTCTGTAACTCATTTTAAAAAAGTCTGTAACCCTCAAATGTTTGCCAACCAGAGCCTTCCAAAGTGAGGTTTGGTTGCATGATGACTTTCCCTAGCATTATTGGCCTTTGATTATAGCCAAAGCTAAAAAAAAAAAAGAATAGAAAGGGACGAACTGCTCCTGTGCAGCGGCCAAAGACAGAGGAGAGAGAGGAATAGTGATATGAGAGAAAGAGAGAATTTAAAATCTCATATTTCGATTTTGAAGTTCTCTGTTTAATATTGCATCAAAAAATCATTAAAAGACAATGAGAATACAAAATCCTAACTAATTGCAAGAATCAAGGAGAGAATATCTCCTTAAATTTCAAAAACTAAAATCAATTTTCTAAATTCTAAGTAAACAACCCTTAGATACAAAGATTAACCACTTCAAAATCCTAAAACCTTGGAATGAATCAAAAAAGACATAAGAACTAAACTTCTAATAAAATTTTATCCCTACATAGTCTAATCTAAACTTGGGCCCACATTCAGACCCAATCCGTCAACCCCAAAAGGGACAACTTGCCTTTTTTCATAGGTTGGCAACCTTGGAGATCGTCTAGGATCAAGGAAACTTAAACATTCTATTTGTAACTGGATGAAGAGGATTCATCCCAAAAAACTTTCCTATAAGGATGATCTACCCCCAATTCGCAGTGGACATCTACAACAACAATATACAACAATATCAAGCCATCATCCCATTGCGTGAGGTTGGCTACATGAATCCTTTCTCTATTGCATCCTGTTAAGAATCAAATTCTCATTTAAATCTAATAAAGAAAAATCATTTCTAATATTTTCGAAACAAGCCTTTTTAGGTCAACCTCTACTTTTCTTAACATAAATCAAATCTAATACATCTATTTTCCTAACCGGTTCATCGGGAGGCTGCCGTTTTATGTTCCTTATAAGGATGATCTACCCCCAATTCGAAGTGGACATATACAAGAAGAACATTCTCCAGTGCACATTTAGAATGTTGATATGACTCTAGCCTAAATGCTCTAAGTCCTAAACTGCTTCAAATGAAGAAGCTTCAACTACAGCAATCTACCCAAAAGCTTAAAAGAAGAGAACGCCAATAATATACCTCTAGCTACATTCAAACCACAACTAAAGAGCTATGTAGTAAAGTTTGGTTTTTCAACCCCCTTAAAGCTTCTATGTGACAAGTTGAATAAAAAAAAAAGTTTCATTCAAAGAGAAGACTTCAAATTCTTCATATGGATAGCCCTATTGAGGCTCCTAGTTGGTAGGATGTATCAAATACCACTCCCTTAAGTGTTAGTCTCTAAAAACTTCCAATGGTGGGACAATTCCCAATCAACATCAAGGCTTTACATTGAATACAATATCAAAATTTATGGAGTATTGGAAACTTTGTTTGCCTTCATAGGATACATAGACCACCCAAGCCAACCATTACAGCTATCCACATCCCATTTAAAAACCATTAATGGGGTCTGCACAGAAAGTTTCGCACTTGAGCTCATAAATACCACCTCACATGTCAAACCGAAAGTGTTCAATAGAGTTTTTTGGTGAAAGCTTGATGCCCGAGCTCAATGTTTAAGCTTAGCACACAGAAAAAAAAAATGCGAGTTATGGAGGAATGGTTGAAAGTAGGATACTCAGGAATACTCTTATCCCACAAGTAGGATACTCAGGAGTCCACAAATCGAATGAAAACTCAATACTTGTCCCAACCGCTGCTAACTCCCAAGTATGTTTGCAAGGTAAGCAACGTAGGTGAAACCAAAGGACAATTTCATGCCTTTAAGCATAAAAGTCATTTCCCATGATCCCATAACCAAGCAAGGAAGGTGAATGAATTCAAGTATTTCCTATTTTCCTTCCACCACCTTGTCAACTCCTAAGTGTCCATAGGGAGCACTCTAACACCTTGGAAGTTTCAAAAAGGGCAAAGAGAGTGGAAACTAAAGATTTTATTTTATTTTTCCTTTGAATACACTTGCTTCCCAAATAGCCAAAATGAGCAAAAATATGAGACTATTAGGCTTTGTTGAAGGATATAATAAGCGGAGGGGTATTTATAGACCCATGCCCATTATTAAAATAATTGATATTAAAAACAACAACAACATCAAGCCTTTATCCCACAATGTAGGGTCGGCTACATGAATCTTTTTTCTCCAGTGTCATATTAAGAGTTAAATTCTCATTTAAATCTAATAAAGAAAGATTATTTTTAATATTTTCTAACCAAGTCTTTTTAGGTATACCTCTATCTTTCTTAATATAGGTCAAATCTAATACATCTACTTTCCTAACCAAGTCATCGGAAGGCCGTCATTTTACGTGACCAAACCATCTAAGGTGACACTCTCTAATCTTATCTTCCACTGGAGCAACTCCAACCTTTTCATATATATTGTTCATTTCGTATCTTGTCTCTAAGAGTAAAGCCACTCATCCACCAGAGCATTCTCATCTCTGCAACATGTAATATTATGCTTCTCTTTTAATGGCCAATATTCTGCACCAAAAAGCATGTAGGTCTAACCACCATCTTATTGAATTTTCCCTTAAGTTTGAGGGGGACTTTTCTATCACACAACAAGCCTGATGAATTCCTCCACTTCAACCATCCAACTTGAATTCTACTAATAATACTTGAATTCCTCCACGTTAACACTATTATAGAAAAGTAAAGCATTGTGTTAGGTAATCGACATTCAGTGTAAAACTTGTCAAATAATCATAACATAAATTCTTTAATTGATATTAAAAACAATTAAAATAAATAAAATACTATTTTACTTCTTGAATAATTCAACCAACTATTATGCATTTCTTTTTGGAGGCAATTACAAGTGATATTAGCCTCCAAAAGGTGATTATTTGACATTCAATGGAAGTCCAAGACCATCGCCAAGCACTTGGGCACCATGCATGCCGGAGCAACAAGACCAAGCTACATGCTTGGGCTTAGCAACCACATGCTTACAAGCATGGTAGGGACTAGTCATTTTCGAACCTTTTATTTCATGGCCTAAGCTATCTTTTTTGGTTAGAATGGGGCCAAAATAGTCTCCTTTAACCCTCAAATTTATATAATCCATTTAAGATCATCCCAAGGTTCTATGGAGGCCATTAAATCTTGGATAGCTTAGATTGATGCAAAATTTATGAACTGACTTCATTACCACCCTAATTTGGGCTTCAAAATTCTCAATTTTTTATTAGCAACACTTTTGGCTGATAATAATTATTGAAATACAAAATATAAGCAATGGAAACAATTTGAAAGCTACCAATTTGCAATCTCGAGAGAACAATTGTGTTTATGTCCACAAAGTGATTGTGGTTGGGGAAAAATGAATTTATAACATAAATTTAGAAGACAATTTCCAAGCACCCTCAATCTTGCAAGAAAAATGCATCTATTTGAGGTAGAAAAGAAGCATTTTTAGAAATTTTGCCAAAGAATCCAATAAAAGAAGGGGCAATTAATACGACCCCAAAAAGATAGCTCTTGACTAATTCCATGCATTCATTCAACGATGTTAAGATTTGTAAATGAACTTTATGCAAGAAGATTCAAACAAACAATGATCCTTCTGATGCATCACAAGGAACCAATTGAGGAAAAAGTGAACCCATCAAAGCTCAAAGAAAGATGAAACCAGTGGCAAAGCAGGGACCCATTACAAGAAGCAAAATAAAAATATTTAATTAGCATTTGCATTTTAATTGACGTATAGTTGTTAAGTACGAAATTGTTATTATAAGTTTGGAGTTTGGACATTAACAAAATTTTCAAATTTTGAATTTTGAATTTTATAATTCAATACTTTCAAATTTAGAGTTCAGATTCCCAAAAAATGAGAAAATATTATGCAAAATTATATTAAAATTGGATAATTGATTTAAATTAAATCAAATAATCAATTTCCACTCAAGAGTGTCCGGCCACCTGTGTTGCATGGTGTAACCACCTCCTCCCTTCTCCAAACCACTCCTTTGGCTAGCCCAAACCTTCTTCCCTCTCTTTGCTTGTTTTTTTTTTTTAGTGTTCTACGGCAACTAATATTTTGCTAGAATGAAAAGGAATGTTTAATGTGTGTTTGCTGATTTTTTTTTTTTTTAAATCTAAGCTAGAGGAGGCTTGGCGGCCAACCTCATCCTTAAAAGATTTAGTGATCTCTTCACACATTATCAATTTGTGAGTAATAATCTCAAGTATATTGTATCGAACCTAATTATCTTTGACGTAGATGTTGACCTCATTATTCGAGGTCAATTTCCCTGGAATCGACTCTAGTACCTAGGTTTTTTAGCCTAGTGTAGATGTCGCACCCGCAGGATTTCCCTTAGGTGGACACCTAATGACGTAGCATCGACTCGAACCTATCGATCAATTTGAATCAAAATCAATTCAATCTAATTTTAATTCAATTCCAAATGAACTCAAATAAAGCCTGCTTTATGATCGACTCAATTTAATATAATCTAAATTGATTTGATCTAAATCTAATTCAACATTAAATCAACTCGTCTCGAACCCGTTTAAATTAAATCAACTATCAATCAAACCCCAAATTCACATTTAATAAAGCTTGATTTAATCTTTAATTAAATTATAATCAACCCCTAAAGTCCTTTTAAGGAATAAATTGATCTTAGCCATCAATTTATTTTGAAACGAGATTTTGATTAAGGGCGGTAAGATTAAGATCCGTCCAGCCGACGACCTCTCCCCCTTAGTTCACGACATGCACTCAATACGATCAGCCTTCTCTCTCGAGTAAAAAAAAAAAAAACTTCAGTCGATCTCCTCTCTATTGGAACCATTTAAAGACACAACAGTTAACAAGCAATTCGAAAAATCCTAACTCCCCATACAATGCAGTTCGTAAAACTACTCACCCGTTCCCACACTCTGTTCGCACGAAATCCCAGCCTCCTCTCTGAGTTCGCAAGACGCTCTCTCACGCTCTCAGTTCGCATAACTTCCTCCCCCCAGCCGTTCGCAAGCTCCAGGCAGAAATCCCTAGTTCACAAGTTTGCGTGAGAAGCCCTCAACCTACGATCTCTCCTATTCTCAGCAATTCGCATGAAGTCCTTTCCTGGGCAGTTCACGAAGTCCAGTTTTGCTCTCTCTCACAACAGTTTCGAAATCCCCAGGTTCTCCCTCTCAGTAGTTTACACAAGCCCAAGAGATTGGCTCTCTCCCTCTCTATTCGCAGACAGAGAACAAAAAACCACCTGGATCTCTCTCACAGTTCGCAACTTCAAAACACCCGATCTCCTTCCAGTTCATACACACGAAAACCCATTCGGCTCACACCTCTTCCCAGTTCGCCCCTTGCTCTCTGCTCGAATGAAGCCCTCATCATTCGCATAGATAGACCGAACTCCCCTCTCCCTGCAGTTGGCAAATCTCGCCTGAATCCTCCTCTCTAGTTCGCAAAAGACCCCAAATTCCCGTCGCCTACTGTTCTCCAGCTTTAGCTCGCTCCTGCAGTTCACAAAATCAGCCCCTCTTCCTCTAGATTCAACAGCTCTTTTCCATAGATAGAGTTCACGAACTCCATCCCATCTCCCTCACTCTGATTCGCAAAGGCTTGCTCCCAATTCGTGTGAGAAAGCTTCCAGTCCGTCGCCTGCCATTCGCCCCTCTTCGTCTCCTGATTCGCACGCATAAGAGAACCATCCCTTCCAGTTTGCACGAAGCCCTCTCCCCTGCAGTTCGCACGAAGCACAGCCCACTCATGCTCCTCCAGATTCGCAGATCTGAAGGCTTCCTTGTTCCAATTCATGAATTCCCATTCGTCTCGCTCCAAGGAGGCTGATCCAAACACTTTTACCTCAAATGAGTTCAGGTATATTGCTTCTTACCTCTTCTTCCTTAATCTTTTGGGAAATTTACATACATACCACTTTATAACATCCTATTTACATATCTAACACCCAAAATTTTAATATTACATGCATACCACCCTATATTATTTTAATATCAAATATACCACTTATATTTTTTTCCTACCACTCATATATTTCATTTCTACCACTCATATTTGATATTCAAAATCCTATTTTGATATTGAATCCATTGTAGAATATTGTGTTGGTCTCTCGAGACCGTACTTTATTCTGAATGCAGTATTCGATTACAAAATAGGAGAAATCAAAATCTGCGTGGTGATACATAATTTTTCCCACCAGTAGAAATCCCATGCAAACCTTTACTCACCAACGCACACAATTTTCCCCATCATTCTCCCACAAAAATCCATCCAAAACCCTAAAGGGGGTTGTCAACCAACCATTGCATGAACAAAACCTATTCATATTCACAACCTCTTTTGGGCTGACCAAAACCCCTTGAAAATTTGTGAAACACTCTAGATGCAAATTAAAAACATTCCTCTATCATTCACACATGTTTCTAGACCTTGACCACATCAATAACTCACTCCACTAAAGCCATAATCCCATTCTAGGGCTCTCAACAAAAGGGGCTTCTAATAAGACCAAGACTACATAAGAGCTAAAAAATGTTGAAAATTTATAAAATGCTCCAGATCTATTATGGACTCATTTCCCTAACTATTCCAAGTGATCCCAAGGCCTAGAGTTGTGTAATTTCCCCACAATAATTCATAAATCTCAAATTAGGCATTTCTAGATTTGGGGCATTTTCTTGCTTGGCCAACCCCCATTGCATCAAAACCTAACTCCGATTTTCCTAAAACTTTCCCAAGGCTTATAAACCATTAATAACACCTTTTAGAAGCCTATAAACCACAATTAAGCCACCACTCAAAGGCTATGCCAAGGCTCCATCGCCTTCAAGCTCCTATTGCTAAATCATATCAAAATTTATGTTGATTCACCAATCTAACTTGATAAATCACATCTCATGGACAATAACCTCACTTGTTCATATATCTAATCATTCAATTCATATTATAATTAGCAGGATCCAACTTAATCTCAACGAGGATGTGGCTCACTTCTCCGCCCTTCTATCTCTTGCAAGACCAAAATGCTCTCAATTGAGAAAATTTTGATGTGCCACAGATCTTGATGGCGGCAAAGCTTATATATATCCATTGTACTCTTTGCAATAATACTAAAATGACCTTCATCAAAGTCCACTTATAAATGCTCCCATTAAGGAAAGGCAAAATGCCTCTCGCATTCTCGCTCTTACATTCCTATGGAAAACCCTGTCGGATAAGCTTTAAGTTCTTTTCACCTTCAAGCTCAACTATTAACTTCAGCGTCAGCAGGTCTTCTCAAAGAGAACCCTTAGATTGGTTTTTTTACCATTTCTTTTTCGCTGATAATGTATAATAAGTTATCCAAATGTCGGGTTCTACAAAATCCAACTGGACAAACACTACCAAGATTAAAGTCATTTATGGCATTCAAGATTCCCTAAAGTCATTTAAAATTCAAATAATTACATCAGTTCGTTTATTTTCATCCAACTTAACCTCCCATTCTTCTACAATACAGATCGGTGACTCATGCTAAATTCTTCTACCAGGTGATCTGACGGTGATTGCCAATATGACCTATACAATACCTTCAAAAGAAAAACATATATATAGTAAAGATATAAGAGGGGATCGATAAGGACCTATATGAACAAGAGGCACAAAATTTGAGCTCAACTACATTGCCATGACCGGATCCTCGTACCTGAGAGCCCTGCAAGAAGAACATAAAAGAAGAGGGTTGTCTTCAAAAATTAGAAACCAAAAGACGAATATTGAACTGCAATAGAGAAGGAATAGGCGATCGCAAAGTATTATTAACCTGAACAGCAGCGAAATCAGGCACTTGGGGTACGGATTGAGATTGGGGCTGGTGATAATGTTGCGGAGAAGGCTTAATAGGAGGAGACGTAGGAGGAGGGGAGAAGATACTAACGATATCTGAGAAGAAGAGGAATACAGGAAACCCTAGCAGAAGAAGCTGGAGGCGATCCATAGCCGGCGCTTGCTTTCGACGAAGGAATTGGCAGGTCCGGTGAGTCTTACCTCGAATGCGAACGATACACCTAATAGAAATAAAATATTATAATTTAGCAATATAAGAGATATATTTAATATTAAAATTATTTATGAATAATATATATGAAATATTAAAATTTAAAATATTAGATATGTAAATAATATGATATAAAATAATATGTATGTAAATCCTCCAAATAATAATTATAAATTAATTTTTTTTTTTTTTTACAAAATTTATATGTGATATGTCACCAAAAATTATCTTGATTGGGCACGAATCTCAAGACATTTAATTTTGATACTTTTGAAATTGGAGTTCGGTAAATTAAATTCGGAATCATCTTAGCTCCAATTTCAAAAAACGTATAGTCAAATTGAAAATCATTGAGACAAACTCAACAACATCAAAACTAGTCTAATTCAAGCTCAAATGGGCCCAAATCAAGGGCTCGGTGCATAATTGGAAGGTTCAAAACATTCATTGGACAATCAAGTGACCTCTATATATTGTATGCTTATAGTCGAATCAAGCGGCTCGACGAGACAAATCCAACAAGCTCAATCTCTTAATTCTGAAATCATTAAGACTTAAAGGTTTGATTATCACTTTATGATCAAGTAAATCAATATGGTTCATCCAATGGAGCACTCTGAATTTACCTTGAATCTTTTATATATTTATGGGGCATGTCACTCTCAAAATCTATAAATAGACCCCATCCTCTGGATCCAAGAATTCTAGCCAAACACCGTCGCCGACGAACTTCTACTAAACCACTGCTCGATCAACGACTGTCATCGAACCACTGCATGTACGACGCAGTCACCGCTCAGCCATTGGACCTCTGCCCATCCACTGATAGTCACCAGGCTAAACTCTGTCTATTGAACTTATGCTCAACCATCATCAGACCACCGCCTATCCACTGACAGTCACGAGTCACCGGGCCAAACCCTGTTTGTCAAACTTCTATCCAACCATCATCAGACCACCGCCCATGCCAATGATTGTTATTGGACCACTGCATATCTACCAATCTCTGTCAAACTTCTGCCCAACCATCATCTGACCACTATCTAGCCGCTAACTATCGGCGAATCATCGCCCGTCCACCAATTGTTGACAGACTCGGACCACCGTCATTCGTCGACTACTATCCCTCTGATCTATGTCGCCCGCCAACTACGATTCCTCCGATTTCCTTCACTCGCAAACTATGATCCCTCCAACTTCCTTCACCCGTGGACTACAATCCCTCCGACCACCGTTGCCAGCTTACTACGGTCCCTCAGAGCACCATCGCCTGTCGACTACGGTCCCTCTGACCACCATTGCTTGCTAACTACGGTCCCTTTGACCATTGTTGTGCATGCTACTATGGTCCCTTCGACCATTGTCACGCGTGTGACTACGGTCCCTTCGACCATCACACATGCAACTGTGGTCCCTCCAACCACCGTCTCAGGGCAATTACCGACATTCGTCGCCTGCCGACTACTATCCCCAAGACCTGTGTCACATGTCATTTACAGTCCCTCCGACCTCCGTTGCCCGTGGAATATGATCCCTCCGACCACCATTGCTTGTCAATTATGGTCCTTTCGACCAATGTCACTTGCCAACTACGGTCCCTTCGACCTCCGTCACCTGCCATCTACTATAACTCCGACCTTCGTCGCCCGCCGACTGTGGTATCTTCAACCTCTGTTACCTGACTATGATCTTACTGACCAAACGAGCATGCCAACACTCTCCTGTGAACAAATCTCATGTCACCAAATTCTTCCAACTCCAACTATATATTGTGCTTTATATGATGTATATTTTTTGCTTTGAGCCAATGCCTTCCCCAAGAAAGGGTGTGACATGTAATCAACCACAAATACTAATGAGTTTTTTCAACTAGGCAAGACCCCATAATTTTTCACCCTTTTTAGGAGTTTTCACGTAAAAACTCTAGCGTTTCTTATGAATATTGCACATCTCTCTGTTATTTATCTGTGTTGGAGCTTCGTACAAAACTAGGACATTAAACTTCATATCTCTCTAGTGCCGCGAGTGTTCTGAGTCATAACAATATGAAAATATTTGATTCTAATTATAAAATATTAGATTATCCATCTTAAAATTTTGTTTTCATTTAATATTGTATGCTTTTAGTTATTGCCTTACCCTATCCATATCAATTTCATTTTGCCAAAATCAAGATAATTCCTAGGTTTCACACAGCCCACTCATTATTCTTCTTTTCTTCTTCTTCTTCACCATTCTATCTCTCCATCTCTCACAACCCCAATGAAAATTTTCTAAAATTAATTTATGATATTATTTTTTATTTAAATATCTTCTAAATTTGAATATTTATTTTATAACTCTAAACATTTTATTTTATTATCTTCATGTAAATTAACCATAGTATTATGAATGCTCCAGCCCCTTTTAACTTAAGAAAAAAATTATATAATAATGCAAAGCACTCCAAGATAGACGTCAAAGCCATTCAATTTGCATTGGTTGAGTTCAATTCAAAATATTGTATTAAGCAGTTTTCACAATACAAATTGGGCAACATTGGAGCCCATTTTAATGTACTTTACTTCAGCATTTTCTAACACAATAGTTTTCTAATACTTGTGCTAGAAAACTTCAATTTGTAAACAATAGAATATATTATTTATAATATTCACTTAACTTATTTTAACAAATGCAACATTAACAATCTCCATAATTCATCAAAATATATATTTTCATACAAAATTTCAAGCTATAAGTATTAGATATTTGAATTCCAAAATCTTAGGAACCAACTATAGGGTCTTTCTAATTCCATTATCAACAAATTTATGATTTAAACTAAGGTTTCGTTTGGGACGGCTTTCTTACTAATTTCAAAAGCAACTTTTTAATATAAAAATGTTAATTTTTAAGCTAAAAAACTATTTTAAGAAGCAATAAAAAGGCCGTCCCAAACGAAACCTACGACTTATATTTTGGACAGCTTTCTTATTGTTTTCTATCGTTGCTTTTTTTTAATACAATTTTTTTTTTTTGAATTTACTAAAAAACTATTTTAAAAAGCAGTTAAAAAAATGTTACAAACTAAACCTAAGTATTTTTTATAAGATGAACCCAAATTTATGAAAAAGCTAATAAATTTATAAAATATATTACTTGTGTTTCATCACAAAAATTTTTAGTTCAAAAGAATTCTCTACGAAAGAAAGTCGTCCCAAATGAAACCTTAAAAAAGCTTTCTAGTTTAAAAATTAAAATTTTTGTACTAAACAAAGAAGCAATAAAAAAGCTGTCTCAAACGAAGCCTAAGACCATCTCCAACGAAAAATCGCATTTTTCACTCCAAAATGTCGTGAAACTTATATATGTTGCGATTCATCTCCAATGGAACTCCATTTTGCGAAGGTAACAGTCTTTCTCTTCTTTCGCGCGTTTCTTGGCAAGTTCGGCAGTGGCAGAAAAATAACGATGATGAATAGTGCAATGCCAATATTAGCATCCCACTGTTCACCCGCAAGGAAATAACGAAACTCTTACCGTTCAGCTGGAGCTCCGAGGCGACGACATTCAAGCATTTGGAGTTCCATTGGAGATGCTCTAAGAGTCATTAAAAACTCATACTTAAAAGGATAAGTTGTGTGAAGCCGCCTATCAAGTGGAGATCAGCAAGGAACTACATGCCAAATTAATCACAAATCGCAACATATCATCCTTTAAAGATCTTAGAATTCTTATTGTAGCCAAACAGCCATTTATAATTATAACCGAGATCTTTGTCTCAAAACCAGTTGCTGATTTATTATGGCTAACTATATCCAGTCTCAATTAGTTCTAGAAATTAGATTATTTGTCGCAAAAATTGGTCACAACTAAATAAACAGAATCTCCTAGGTGTTAGGTAACTTATAAAGTCAAATAGCATATTTAATAAAAATAAATAAACTCACACTACAAGAAAATCGTGCGTTTACAATCAATAAAATAATTGCAAAATTGTGAAATTCTGATATAAAACATAAATTAGTCACCGCATAGTCCGTCACGCAAACAATCACAAAAGTATTTGTCAGATTTATAACCAGAGGAGATTGGTTGCAACTAATAGAATTTGCATCTCAAGTTTCGTTTGGGAGGGTTTTTTTTACTGCTTCTTATAGCAGCTTTTTTGTATAAAAATTAAACAAGTTTTACATAAAAGCTGTCCCAATCCAAATCTAAATTTCAAAATTGCATTAAAGCAATAACGGTCAAATGATTTAGTGATTGTAACAGTAACTGCATGTTGTCAAAAATTATTGCAATTAGTGAACTTTGCAAATAACTTTCACACAATTATAATTTTGCACAAACCTGCACAAGCAAAAAACATTAAAAAAAAATAATAACCATCGAAGCGTTAACATCATAATATTTTATTCAACAAACCCCACTGAACCTAATAATCACATAATAATCTATATATACTAAACATAAAACAAAAAGAAAAACGCACTAATCAACATTAATTAAAAGTCAAAATCAGTGTTATCAACATTAGTACAATTAAAACTTATGAGTGCACATTGTTCTTTAAAAAAAAAAAAAACAAACCATTATACTCATTGTCCTACCCGTCATTTATATTTTCCTCTTCATTTTCTCCCTCTACTTATTTGTCAACTTAATGGTAACTCCCATCTGTTGGCAAAATTATTACGTGCGGTCACCGAACGCCATCCGGAAGCCAATTAGGACACTTCATGTTACCAATTTATTATGTACCGCTATGTATCGGATGATGTGGCGTATCCTGATTGACCTCTGGACTGACCAGTGACTGCACATAATAATTTTTCCACCTAGTGTGCCCTATAGTTATAAACTTATAATTCTTTAATCATTGAACGCATAATCACTTTAATACCCTCTATTGTAATTGATATCTCTTTAAATTGAGTTTGTGTAAATAACTATGATGTCAAGACAACCCATCCAAATTTACTAATTTCACTAGAGCCACAAAAGTCATATACTAGACCTTTGGCATTCCCCTAA